TAAAGGTTCTGATTATGTCTCGTTTAAAATACAATGCGAATTTGATCATAGGAATTTGTTAGTTGAAGCTAGTCTATGGCCCCGATCTGCCATTATAAGAAGGTTCTATGAACCTAAGAAAAACAAACCCGAAGATGATGGATGGATATAATTCAATTACGTTAGATATTTTAAGGTGTGTTACATTTAATTGTAATAATTTTAAAACTTCTGAAAAAGAAATCTTCGACTTAAGTTGCAAAAATGATTATAGCCCTCCAGTAGCACTGGCTTCATATTTTGAAATCTTTTCATAATGATTTCGATTGCATATCGGTCTCCGGTATGGATAGCGGTGAGGGTATATATATATCCATTGATAGGCCTTTTGGTGGTGTAGCTTTTTTTTTTTTTACAGAAAGTCATATAATTTTGTTTAGCCTCTTTACCTTGAAGATAAAAGGCTTGTGGGTATGCAAATTGGTGAAGGTGACGACTGTACTATGTTGATAAACGTTTACTTACCATATGATAAAGATGATAACTTAAATGAGTAAATCGACTATCTTGGTAAAATTAAGTCCTTAATCGATGACTTTAATGGATACAAAGTCGTTATAGTGGGAGACTTTAACTCTGACTTAAATAAGAAATTTCGTAGGGAATTATTGAATTTTACAACGGATTGTAGCTTACACATATTCGATGTTGAGTTTTTCAGTGATTACATTTCCGAATTGTCTGACAACTTTACGTTTTTTAGCGAGGCACATGGAACCACAAGCTGGTTAGACCATGTCGTCACATCTCATGGTGCTCATGTTTGCCTTATTAATTTTAATATTGATTATAACTCATTGAGTTCTGATCACTTTCCTATGTACATCAATTATAAAATCCCTAATCTCAGAGGCAGAGCAAATAATGTTCCTGTAAATAGCTTAAGTAATGAAGATGTTAATTTTTCGGTTGGAATTGGAATAAAGTAAACAGGAATTCGTTAAATAATTACACGTCTACTACCGATTGTTCAGGACATACCGGTACTACAAATACTATTCACACGTTTCATTTATTTTCCTTTGTTTTATTTTCTTCTTGATTACAGTTCAATTATCAGATCAATAATTTATTTTCAATCAAATGTTCTACGATGTTCAACAACTGAATTTTTGAAAACACCAAACATGTCAAAAGGTCAATTTACCGAAATATGAAAGCTGCAAAGAGCATTCAAACCAAAATTATATTACGCCCTCTATCGTATTGATTGTCTTCATAACATTCTCCCCGTCCTCGATATGCTCTTGACATTATCGAAACTTCAATCTTCTTAATACCTTTATTTAACTCTATATTCGTATTAATCACTAATAATTAGAACAATTTCTTTTATTTTTGTTTTTCTAGCAGTTTTGTTAAACTAATACAATTTTAACATACAGTATACTGTTTCTTTTTTACGATATTTTTTCTATCTTGTAACAAAATAACTTATCTTTTACAAATAAAACAATAATGCAACAATGATGCATATCTGTTTTTAAACATTAATATAAATAATTTATAACATAACCACAGTTACACATTACATCTACAAGGTTTTTGACAACAACATCATTCTGAATTGTTATTGTAACTGAAGTATTCAAAAAATACAGTATTAAAATATAAACATTTCCAACTTGTTCTCAAACTACTGCATACTTCTCTCTACTCAGAAATTTCAAGTGAACAAATTTTTGTCAAAGGTCTAACAGATATTGACTTTCCCGTTTGGACTTTTACTACTCTGACATGTCCATCTTTTCCCGGATAGACCTCTACAATTCGACCCATTCGACCCAACGGCCACTGACCACATGGAATATTAGAATCCATAACTAATACAATATCTCCAACTTTAATATCTCCATAAACTTTCCTGCATTTTGTTCTGAGTGAAAGACTTTGAATCCACTCACGCCACCATCTATGCCAGAAATGCTTTACTAACTCTTGAACCCTACGCCAACTTTTTTTAGGATTAAATTTGGTATCATCTATAATCTCTGGAGCGAACTCTCCTCCCATTTTACATGTAGAAAATGATCAGGTGTAAGCAGAACACCATCTTTCGGATCTGCTGATTGATACGTCAGTGGTCTGGAGTTTATCAATCCTTCTGCACTTATGAAAGCAGACATCAACTCTTCATCATTTATATCCGCAGTACGTAAGATAGCATACACAGCACGTTTTGCAGCTTTAATCATGATTTCATGAGCACCTCCAAAATGTGGTGCTGCTGGTGGGTTAAACTTCCATGTCACTCCTCTATGAGCTGTAACATTGACTATCGTCTTTTTATTCTTCACGGCAAATAACTCTTTCAATTCTCTGTTAGCTCCTACAAAATTCACCCCGTTATCAGAAAACATCTCTCGAGGTAATCCTCGTCTACTAGCCATCCTGTAAAAGGCATTCAGAAATGAATCTGTGTTTAGTGCATATGCCATTTCTAAATGCACTGCTCTCGTTGCTAGGCATGTGAAGAGACATAGATACTGCTTACCGCGTTGTTTGCCTCTTCCCTGTATTGTTATAAATGGACCACCATAATTAACTGCGGTTCTCTCAAATGCTCTCATTGATGTTGACTTAACTCTGCATTCTTGCAAAAGAGCCATGACCTGTTTGCCTGCAACAGCTTTACGTCTCTTACAACCACAGCATTCTTTTTCAAAGCTCTTTATCTCTTCTCTTGCACATATTATCCAAAACCTCTGTGAAAGATTTGCTAACAGTCCACTTAGAACACTACTATTTTGGATTTGCTGTCCCCTTTTTAACTTGTTGATCTCAGTTGAGAATAAATCTGCCTGTGCCTTTCATGCAGTTTCCATGTTGTAGGTTCATTTTCATTTCCTTCATTAGCATTTTGAGCTTGTGTTGCATGGGTTCTGAACTTTGCTTTTAACTCTTTGGTTTCTTGGCATTCTTCAAATTTATTTGTTGGCCAGTCTTTAGATTCTCCAGCCAAAAACTCTGGACCGTTCCACCATAACTTACATTCTGTTAGTCTCTGCACAGACAACCCTCTAGTTGCCACATCAGCTGGATTGGTTTTGGTTGGTACATATCGCCACTGGGATGGCTCGGTATTCTGGTGAATCTCGCTCACTCGGTTAGCAACGAATGTTTTGAAGTTTCTACTTCGTTGCCGAATCCACCACAGAATATTCATACTATCTGACCAAAATATCGCCTCTTTAAATGAGATATTCAAAACACTAGCAACTGATGCTGCAAGACGTACTCCCAGAAGAGCAGCCATTAATTCTAGTCTTGGAATGCTTGTTGCAGCCAATGGAGCAACTCTTGTTTTGGATGCTGCAAATCTCACCGATTCAACTATTTCAGTAGACAGTAGAACTACCTCTTATATACGCAACAACCGCATATGCGTCTTGTGATGCGTCAACAAACACATGAAGTGATACAAAGGAACACACCTTTTCATTCGGATTCAGACATCTTGGGATTTTGATTTTCTTTAGCTCTGCTAACTCATTAAACCAATTGTGCACTTTCAGCGCAATGTCACCTTCCAGCTCATCATCCCAGTCAAACCCGTTAGCCCATAATTCTTGCATTAAGGTCTTTGCTCGAATGCTGTAAGGTGTTATAAACCTCAATGGGTCAAATATGGTTGCAATCTTCTTTAATATAGTTCTTTTAGTAACCCCCAATTTCTCAGGCCATGGTGAAGATGTTATGACGAAGTTATCTTCCTCAGCTATCCAAGTTATGCCCAACGTCTTGACCGACGGTAAACTGCCATTCTCAACGTTTACTTCTTTTGCTCTGTCTTCAATTGGTACTTCCTCTAGTACTTTCTTCGAATTAGAGATCCACTTTCTGGCATGAATGCCAGCTTCTGCCCATAACGCTGATAATTTTTTATACAATTCACAGCCTTCCTCTTCATTGCATACTGAATCCATGCTGTCGTCCATGTATGTGGCCTTAAGTACAGTCTCTGCCGCCATAGGATATTTGTCTGCTTGGTTTGTAGCATGTTCTTGTGATACATATTGAGCCAAAAATGGCGAAGCATTTACACCAAACACTACACTGTTGAACTCATACTCTTGTGGTTGTTGATTTGTCTCTAGGTCTCTCCACAAGAATCTGAAGAATGGTCTGTCTTTTTTCCCCATGTTAATCCTGAGATACATTTCAGCGGTGTCACACACAATTGCCACTGGGCGATATCTAAACCTAATTAGCACGTCAAACACTTCGTGTTGTAGTTTAGGCCCTTGATAAATCAAATCGTTTAGACATACGTCTTCCAGTTTTGCTAATGCATCAAATACAACCCTTGTTTTGGTTGTAGTTCTATCCGGTTCACAACCGGAAAATGAGGTAGATACCACTCCCCCTTAGGCTCACCCTTTTTTACCTTTCTCACAAACCCTTTCTCAACATACTGGTCACTGCACACATCTTGTTGTGAATGAAAAGTTCTGATGAAGTGCACATTACTGTTCTCACGATTAGTTCCTGTGTTTCCCACTGCTATCCATCCTAACGGTGTGAGTCATGCAATCGGCTCACCAGGTTTTCCAGTTACTTGTATGAAATTCAGCATAATCTATTCCGATGAGAACGTCTACTACTGGTTTGGTGTTGATTGTTGGGAATTCTATGTTTTGCAGACGGGCCCAGTTTCTAGAAACTTTCTTCCAGTTGACAGGTGCCATATTCCCAGTAACTTTCTCAGTTGTTAACACTTCTTGATTTATCTTTCCATCAAGACTTTTTAGGTTAAACTTTACCGGCATTGTTTCCATTATCTCTACTCTGCCATTAAGTGTGCTTACTTTGACTCTGTTTATTTGTCCATGTAGTCCTAATTCGCTTGCTACATCCATATTTATGTATGCCTGGGTGCTCCCATCATCCAATAAGGCATTCACTTTAAGTTCTTTATCATGGTGCTTAAGAATCACTGGTATTGTCCGTAAGCTACGTACTTATTTTGTTGTGGATGGACCATGTAACGGATGTGTAGTTCTGTTTGCAGTTTCCTCTGTCTGTATTTGGTTCTGTAATTGCTCCCCTTCCGTGCTCGTTCGTACCACATCAGTCTGACCTTCTTGATCGTGCAACAATCTGTAATGGTTTCTTTTACACCCATCTATCTTACACGTGCCTGTTTTATCACAATTTTTGGCTAAATGCCTACCAAGAAACTTAAAACACAATCCTTCCTTCTTTGCAGTGTTCCATCGTTCATTTACTGACATCCGTTTAAATAGGCTGCAACTCCATATTCTATGATTGTCACTATTGATGCACAACGGACACATTGATTTTGTTGAATGGTTCTGCCGATAGGTGAAATGCGACTGTGACATCTGTCTTCTTTTTCCTTCAATTTCTCTGTGGCTTGAGCTTGTGAACCTGGTTGTTTTTGTATCTTTCTGTGTTTCAGATCTATGTATGTTTCTTCCAAACATGTTGCTTGTTATTGCAGCTTTTTCTTCTAAAAAGTTAATCATATCTAAGAACAAAGGTTCCCTTCCATTAACAAGGATATTTTGTGCTGTTTTTGCCCACTTTGTTTGTATGTATACAGGCAGAAGACCTTGAACTTTTAACAGATTTTCAGTGCTATTTAAGTCAGCCATGTATCCCATTTGAGTTAAGGTTATGTTACACTTTTTCATTGATCCTATCAATTTCCACAGCCCTTCACTGTCATTGGGTCTAACCTTTCTATCTAAAAGCTCTCTCATTAATGAATGCAATATTATATGAGGCTGCCCAAATTGTTGTGACAAAATAGCTTTAGCTTGTTTATACCCTTCACTTCCCATTAAGGTACAACATTCAGTACTATCTCGTGCTTTTCCTTTGCACAACTGTAATAAATATTGTAATCTACAAGCATCATCATTAACACGTTTTGCTACAATTTACTTCAAAATTAGTCATAAAAGACCAATAGTTACTAGGTTCTCTATAGAACTCAACCACCTCTGCATTTGGCAGCTCTAATGCCATTTTGAATTGGCTAACAAAATCTGATCTTTGGTCAGGATTATTTACCTCTGACTCTATTGTACTGTTCAAATGTTCATTGTTATTTTTTACACTTGGTTGTATACTGTCAGAATCATTTGACATATTATTACCTGAATTATTGGACACTTCTAGGCCTGAATTTTCTTCACTGTTCTCACACTCAGGAGAATTAATATTAATAAGAATGTCATTTTCGGTTTCTTTTTCTTGTGGCAATTTTTTTTATTTTTCCTTCTCTTTTAAGTATTTCTTGCATTCATCCTTCCCTCGTAAATACTCCGCTTGGCAATCTGCAATCCAGCCCTCCTCTGTTAGGAACTCATCATCTGCTTCAATCAGGTCAACTAGCGCGCTGTGTTTATCTTCAACTGCCTGGTACTCTTCGTCGAGTTTGTTTACTTTTTCTATCACATCATCTACATTATCTTGTTCAATCAAAAGCCGCAATGCATTCAATTGCCAAGTTAAAATCCCTTTACTATTTCGTCTTCTCACTTTCAATGTTTTTATTTTATCTCTGGTTTCGTCTTCTGTCGACGCCATTGTTTTATTTTCAGTGGTTCAGATATCAAGTTCAACTCTACATACAGCTATGATCAATGTAGTGTAGCCTAGTTTTCAATTTCAAAGTGTTCAAACCAAAATTATATTACACCCTCTATCTTATTGATTGTCTTCATAACACCGATAAAATGTTACCGTATCCAGTGTATGTATTTGTCACAGTATGGTTTCTTGCAGCGATTTTAATTGTAAAAATCCTAACCATTTAAATGCAATTGATCAATTATATCATGAAATTATTAATTATTTAAAGGATGCCTCAAGTGAGTGTTTCCATTCTAAGGCCAAGTGTAGCAACGTTAATATTGCTCCGGGATGGAACGAGCATGTTGCGGACTTGCATCATATTGCAAGGGATGCTTTTCTGCTATGGAGAAATAATGGTAAACCAAGATTTGGTCCACTTTTTGAATGTATGAAAAATACAAGGTCTAGATTTAAATTAGCGTTGAGGCCTTGCAAGTCAAATGAAGAACAATTTCGAGCAGATTTTATGGCAAACTCTCTAAACGATAAAAAGTATGATAAATTTTGGGAATCCGTTAAACTTACTAATGCGTATAAATCATACACCTCTGAAGTAATTAATGGAGTCAGGGGCAATGTTAACATATGTAATATCTGGGCCGACCATTATGAGCATCTGTATGATCATTATAAGGATTATCATATAACTCCTCAAATTATCCAGAATTTTATCTCAAAGTTGTCCTTAGGAAAATCGCCTGGCTTAGATGGCATCGATAGAGAATATCTTAAGTATGCTGGTGGAAAAATTAATGTTTTATTTAAGTATCTGCTTTAACGCTATGCTTGTGCATGGGTACATTGTTAATGACTTTGTTGAAGTTGTCCTTATTCCGATTGTAAAGAATAAGTTAGGTGACGTCACGTCAACAAATAACTATCGTCCAATTGCATTAGCCTCTGTGTTGTCTAAACTGCTCGAGCTCATACTGGTCGATTTCTGTAAAGATAATCTTGAAACTGACTATCATCAGTTTGCTTTTAAGCCCAATCACTCCACTGAGACGTGCGTTTAAACAAATTCTTGAATATTATCAACGGCATGGTAGCTCATTCAGAGTTGTTTTTACCCTGTCTATGAATGACGTCATGCGCTTAAGGCCAATAACAGCTACGAATTTCGAGTTTTCTGCGGTTAGTGCGTTCATGCATAAAAGTCAAATTTATCTGAATGAGCTTTTGTCGCAAATAGAGGAAAAGTTTTCATTTTGATTGTGACTAATGATTTAACCAATTGCATTAGACAGACTCCTACCAAACATGGGGTGTTCACACAGGTTGAGCTTAAAAGTCACAGTGGTTATCTCTTAAAAATTTACTAGGTTCATGTTCCATTGAACATAGTATCTCTAGTTGTTTTTTAGATTCGAGTAAAGCTTTTGACCGTGTGAACCACTGGTCACTTTTTGTCAAATTGATTAAGAAAAACGTTCCTTTATTTGTCGTTAGAATCATACGCGAATGGTATGATAAGCAGAGGTTCTCAGTCCGATGGGGTCTTAATACTTCCAGAGTTTTTAAAGTTTCAAACGGAGTGAGGCAAGGTGGAGTCTTGTTTCCTTTCCTATATAATATCTATATGAATGACCTTAATATTATTCTTAGTAACTCTAGATATGGATGTGAATATGCTGAAATGAAATTCAACCATTTAAGTTACGCCGATGACATGGTATATATAATGACAAGAAACCAGTGTGTATGAGGTTTATCCCTAAAAGTATAAGGTCTTGTAGTCCGCCTAAAACATATCTCAATAACAAAAACCTCAAATATGTTGAATCCGTATCATATCTTGACGCAGGGTTCCCGGAACGCCGCCCTCAGCGGCGAGTGCGAAGCACAACTCGGGGTCAAAAGTGGAACGTGAAATTTGGATATGGTTTTGTAGTCAGATTTGCGAGAAAAACTTCAGCTACCCGTATTTCTCGACTGAGACGTCAGTGGGAGCTGTAATTTGTTTGGCAAGGAGATTGAGCAACCCTTCATTCATATTAAGGGAATTTAAGCCCAGAAACTTTGTAGTTATTAATATTTTGGTTATAATAGAAAATATTCATTTTTTGGTGACGTCGCACTCAAATTAGTTAGCATACATACGTCATAAGCTAGATACGTCACCTTTTCCTGGTAAGGCAAGCTTTCCCGGCGTGCTTTTTTCATGGATAAACAAACACTACTGCTTTGCACATGAATGTCTTGCCCAAGCCAGGGCTACAAGAGCCGCATTGTTAGCATTGTATAATACTTAAATAAGGTACCTCTGCAAATGAATTATTCTTAGTTACCTTTTTTTTTCTTATTTTAATTTATTTCTTCCGAAAGTGTACATTCTATGACATATAATTCCACTGTCTTAGTTAGGCGAGGCCTAGTCTTATGCCTCATCGTCCCCCGCTACACAGTACATCAGCAGCCCCTCCCCATACAGTACAGACGTTTGCTAGGTAACAACGTGACTGCACCTCCCTTCCCAGGTGTTCATGTAACATTGACATAATTGTTAGCTAACCAGTTGTGTGTATTTCTTTGTGAAAATGAGTACCGCGGCGTACTCATTTTCACAAAGCATTTGCATCCCCTCTTGGAAAGAGGGATCGAAATAATTGTCTCCATATCTTCGATAATTAAATTAATCACCGTAATTTAGCTTACACTTATGAACTTAGGGAGCACTTAAAATGTGAAATAATCATTTCACTACCTGACAAACTCTGAACTTTATTCATTCATTAGGCCTACATAATAGTTTCATATTGCTGTACTATACTCCAACATCACTGGCGCATGGTAACAAACCAACTGACTGCAGATCATTTCCGGTCACACATTACTCTCCAGAACACAGCACCCCCTAGTTCCGTCACCTCTGGGTCACATAATATGCTGTGACCTCAATGATGAGCTTGATATCAAAAGACAAGTTAGAACACTGAGTATACGTGGAAATGTACTCAAGTCAAATGTATATTATTTCGTTCTTTCTGTATGAGTTTTTATTGTTCTACGCTTTGGTCTATGTATAGATTTTCATCTATGAACACACTGAGAGTATGTTATAACAATACTTTAAGAAAACTGTTACGCCAACTGAGATACTGTAGTATCAAGGATTTCAGTTCAAAAAGATTACCAGTTTCTTTATTAAGAAAATATGAAAAGATTACTCTTCGTTTGAACAAAGCCGAATTGGATTTTAATTTTTAACATAATTGCAAGGCATTCGGAGTTTTTCCTAAATTTATATATATACCGTATATATTAATTTGATGTATTAGGTTCTGTTATTATTAGATGTATTATATGATAATTAATACAAAACAATGATTTATTGGGTTGTACTTACTTAAGTATCATATAGTACATTTACAGCCTATTAATTATATAGTATTAGGTTGCAGTTACTTAAATAGATACAATCAGGGTGTATTTTTAAGTAAATGCACTGTGATACTTAAAGAAATACAACAAACAGAAATGATGATGCTGTGTGGTAAATTTAGTAAAATAATCAATACAGTTAATTATACCAATAGGCTTATAATGCAATAAAAAACAATCATCTTTCCTCCATTCTGGTAATAAAGATACTACAATCTACCATCCTAATTTTCCCCTTCTTGACAAAACATCCAATCAATTTTTTTAATGTGTTTTTAATTTTAACTTAATGGCGGTTGAAAATACAAGTAGGCCTATTATTATTAGAGGTAAAGTTACTATTGGAATTTTTATAGACTTGAACAATTTACGAGCAGATTACTAAAATAGTATTGTTAATAATACAATGATAATACCAATATGATGATCATGATGATGATTATGAGCATAATGAACAAAAAGCCCTTCTCCACATTAAAGGCCAGGGGAGTTTATTTGAATATATACGGCTTTAATGTCACATTTTCATTTTCTTAAGTGTTTATGACACATTGTGTTGCATCTGTTATCATTTCGCTTTCCCAATGTTTATGACTACCGTATTAAGAGTTTAAATCACATGAATACCCCTTTTGATAATTAAAAAAAACAAAAACATGTGTGTTTAAACGCTAGCATAATGAAGAAGAAGATGATGATAATGATGATGATAATAAGTGGTGGTAGTATTAGTAGTAGTAGTGGTAATAGTAGACTGATCAGGTTAAGTACATAATACATTTTAGTCTACAAGTGACCAAAAATATTACAGCATAACGTTAATTTGTACACAAGTACTTTTATATTAGCAATTTAGTTATCTTCAAACTAATAAAACAAAACAAAACATAAAACAAAACCGAATACATGATAAATTACAATATTATTCAATAGCGGATGGACTTTTAATCCAAAGTATTTATATGAGAGTAGGTCTGTCGGGATTTTTTATTTAAAGAAACAGGTGAATTTTATTTGGTAAATTCTAACACCTGGGCTAAGATCTATGTTTAATGTACTGTATCCCATTTGTTGATTTAATGAAAATTTGTCTTCTTCAACATAAATGCTCTTTCGGAATCAATGTTTTGGCCGGTCGGGCTAGGTCAACACAACCATTTTGGCCCATATCGCCTTCTAATAACGTTTTTTTTTTTTTTTTTAACAAACTACAGTCTACCAGTACAGTACTATATTTTTATATTAAGCTATACGTAGTACTACTTCTAGCGCGTACGAGACCTTTGTGATATGCGTTATATTAATATTTCTAGTATAAGCTACGGTAAACAGTACTACTTTTCAGTACAACGGTAAACGGTAAACAGCAATATTTTCCAGTATAACTTTGTATCGTTTATATGACCATCTCTAACGGTTGCTGTTCAGCTACAGCATTTGCCCAACATAACTGAAGTCAGTAGTCGCTTTTTACACCTACCTAGGGAGAAAATAATATATACAATTATTTCTATGATAGTTAAACCTCGAATAGAAGCCCAAGTGTGCTTAATCTCGAGAAGAAGCCCATCTCGAATTGAAGTTCCCCTCCTTAATTTGCAAAAGTAGCCGCGAAAAATAAGCCCATCTCGAAAAGAGCCTATGGGCTTTTTTTTTTTCGAGATAGTAGGCCTACGGTACCGGTACATAATGTATTTCAAAAAAAACAAAATATATTAAAAACACGCTTGGTTTACACAGTAGTAAGGGTATTTAATGCCGGTTAATACACTCCAAGATACACACTGATGTACTGAAAATAAAAAATAAAATAAAATAAATAAATAATAATAAAGAAGAAGAAAAAGCCCAAGGATTATGTTCGATGTTTGACGGTATTCCTAATAATCAAAATGTATTTTTTACGAATGCTTTAAGGAACTTTCAGGTTAATCTAACTATAGTATTTTTAATGTCAAAATATGATAGACCAAATTTATTAAGTTTCAAATTCTTGTTTTAATAATTCAAAAGTAATAAAAACAATGATTATAGGAATTATATTTGTAAATAGGATATGAGAAGGTAAACAATGTAATGCAAAAATAATGCACGTTTCAATAAATGCACAATTCCTTGGACATATTTCCGTCAGTAAAAATGTCAATGGCGCCATCTATTGGCAGAAAAGTTTTTGAAGAATCGGTCGCTTTCGCTAAAATTATAAACTATGGAGGTTGTACAACTATGTTGCTACTAGGCTTAATCAGCGAGAGACCATGCTCGGTGGTGTTAAGGCAAGCAAGAAAGGCAAGGATTTGAGGTGATAAGGCATGAGAATATCTTGTTGAATTTTACAATCAGAAATTATGTTTACATATTCGATTAACAAACGCCTACCTCGCTGTATGCATTTCCTCGCTTCGCTGTTAAATATTGATAAAATCGATTTTTAAATGGGCCGGATTCGTCCTGCTCGTTGCTGAATTCCCGCAAGAACGGTAATGCATTTTTCTACAAAATATGTAATTATAATAATAATATAACACAATCAAACTTCAAATAATAATGATATTATAGGCCTATTAATATTAATATGATAATAATAATATAAACAACAGAATAACAATAGAAGTAATATTAATAAAATAATTATTTTTAGATTTTACGTATAACAATTACATTTTTCTGCTAGCTAGCAAAAGTGAAGAACACAGGATAAATCTGGTATCTTTAACGAACAAACAATAGGCCTAATAGACAGGCAAGTGATAAAAATTATCTTTGGAAGTTATCAATTAATATCATTTTCGATACACATATTTCTGTCTGCCCAGATAAATATAATATCATGCTAAAGTAATGATTGCTTTTCCTCCTCAAATAACATTATCACTTTAAGCTTGTTTAAAATACAATAATATTTATCTTAATACTTAAGAGTGTTGCAATAATGTATTACGGTTATTACAGTTTATTACAGGCATATTGCACCGTCAGTGAGGTGTTTGTTTCAAACTCTTGACCGAGTTTCGGAGAATTTCTTAGAAAATCAATAATGGATTTATACTAAGAATTAGGAGAGTGATATTATTTCCGTGCATTTTACACTGAATGGATGTTTCTCAAACCTAAGCCTTATAGACTGTTTTGATTGTGATTATGTGTTTCGAACTTCATGTAAAATTTTTATAAAAAGAATATTTATACCTCATGTAAAGCAATCATAATCATAACAGTAATATGTAACTTTGATTTTGGTAAAGTCATTGATTTACATTTTGACGCTTAATCATTCAATGTAGCTAAAAACAGTAAGAAACTTACCTTTTCGTATAATTCTGCAAAAGAAAAGAAAATATGTTTTGTTATTTGCTGTTTATTCTTATTCATAATTTATACTGCAATTACTTTATTTTATTTACGATAATCATTATTAAAACTATACGCCGATATATTAACATTGTTTTGTGTTTTTCAAAATAAAGTCTTTCATTCAATGTTTTAGTAATATTAGGGGTATTATTCTCTAGTTTGGTGACAGATTTCATGCTTGAGTCCTCCTCTGAGCGATGAGGCAGTAAGGCAGAGCGCAAAAACGCCGCTAACTACAGCCTTAACATCGGCGCTGGCTCGTGATCATGACGATCATGACAGGGGTGGTATCAGTGGGCGATTCCCCATCGTTTTTTATGGGAGAAGTATGTTACTGAGGGGCTAGTCCACACCTCTAGCGTTTTGAGACCGTTATAGCTGTATAATTCCAACTACATTACGTTAGATTATACAAAAATGCAACCAATGTTAAGCTTCTGTATATGCATATTAGTAGGATATTATTAATATTATATATTTATTACCGTATTATATAATTGCAAGCAGTGTTCACATGCCTGTAATATTTCTTACCTTGCATATCCATAGTTCTCTTGCCACTCACGCAGTTATACATACAAATCCGAGTTGTACACCCACAGCCTGTGTAAATCATGGTATATTAATATAGAGATAATCTTTAAGCCTAGCCGTAATATTATTAATAAATATACATTTTGAACGTTGAAGAAGAGGAATCTACGGATGTGAAAGAAACTTGCTTGAACGGGGTTCGAGAGGCTTCGTTAAGAATTCCGATCCGATTATAGCAACTGATCTTTTACACTCTTTTTAAGACGACGAGATATGTTATTCAGTAAGCAATTTGAAACATATAAAATGTGAATAAATGAAAATCTGCGTCAGTACCGGTCAGTTAATATTCAAGTTTTTTGGGTCAAATCCATTTATTGGCGAGTAATGAATTATTTTTATAATTTGTTTGTGGTAAAACTGTAAATAAACGAACACTATTTATTCGATCCGTTTCTAGCTGGTTATTATTAACTAATTTGATTCTTTTAAATGAGCTGTTAATTGAATTTTCGAGGTTTACCAGATTTTTTTAGGCAGAGTACATTTTTGGCATGTTCAGAAAGGATGAAGACAGTTTTGGTATAATATTCGATGTATTCCAAATCATATTTACCACAATACGAAATGATTTTTTTTTTTCTTTCTTGGCTAACTTACTTTTTTAATACGTTTCATTAACAAGCATTTTGTTCATTGCATAGGCCTATCCAGCGTTTTTTCTGAATTTGTACTTACCTGGCTGTCGTTTTCTGTTAACTTGTAAATCACAAAGGCAGCATGATGCCAACATCAATGTAAAAACCGCAGTTGTGGTTAGATTCATGTTGATTTTTCTTCTACAAATTCCAGCTTTGCTTTTTTCAGTACAATGGCTTAAAATTCTAGATTGCATCTGATATTAATCTGCACCGTCTAGTATTATGTACAAAGCCTATAAACTTTACAGTGTAATTAAAGCTAACTTTAAACGTCATAATTAAATTTTCTTCTTTTATTACCACAGAAATTCAATCAATCCACATCCGAGTTATTTAAATTAGGGCTCTATATCTCTACTTATCGAAACAAAATTAATGAATGTCTTAATTAAAACATTGTCATTTGCCAAGCTTTTTTAGCTAATAATAAAGAATGAACATAATTTGCTATAAATAGGCAGATATTAAAATGTTATACTCTGGGTATACCATGATAATACAATATTTTATTGCCGTATCGTTCGTATTAATTTGTGGACAACCGTAAATTTAGAAAAAAAATGTTCCCCATGTCAACTTATTTTAATAATTTATTATTAGATAAAAAAATAATTAACCCGTAATGCATACGGCAATGATCTTGTTTGTGTGTTTTATTTTTAACGCCGAAGAATATTATTTTAATTTCTTGATTTAAAAGACGCGCTCTCAAGGAGCTATTTTCCAACATAAAAGCGACTCTAGAAGATCCTAGCAGACCTACCGAAGCTAACATGTTTATTAAAACAATGATTTTTGATGCTTGATAACTGTGGTCTATTTTTTTCCTAATTTAAAGTAAATATAATAATTGTATATATAAAGAAATAGTTATGCCGAAATAAATTATGTACTGGTAAACGAGATTATATTGAATGGAAAGAAAGTAGACTAAATTTATAAAATAAAACTCAATTAAACATTTTGTTATTCTGTTTTAATACCTTAACCAACATAAAATGTAATGTAAATGTTTACTGGTGAAAAACTGGACAGGTAAAGGTAAAGGTAGGAGAATAACCCATAACTTGCAGCGTCATTGTGCTGAATTGCGTATGGGCGTGGTCCATGACTACCTAGAGGCCGTAAAGAGGCCCTTCTTGGTAGGTACATGTTCACATCATTCCACAACGACAGGGGCTGAAATTAACCATAACATCGGGGTAACCCCCTACTCTTTCGAAAGATGCAATTGGTTCTTTAAAGTGCACACGATGTATAAGTCCTTATCCGAGAAGACTTGTTTCCACCAACCGAACCATGGGCGAGGAGCGGCTGGAACCATCGTCGATGATAAGGCTGTAGGTATTTACAAATACGGTTTTACAAAACTATGTTGAATAGGAAAAAAAATCACATCAATGTATAAGCACATCACAAGTATTCCTCATCCTCCTATACTATAGCAGGGCCAGGAAGACGCGCGTGTATCACTAACACACGTGTTGTCCCACGCACACACACACACACACACCCACACACACACACACACACACACACAATATATTTAAATAATAGAACAGTATGCAAAAACATTTCATAATCAAATTTATTTATTAAGTTTCATAGTTTCATATTTATGTACGCATAGACACTTTTGAAACTACTGAAATAAAAAATAAATAAAATAAATAAAAATTTACGCGTAGCATAGGTGATATAGAAATAAGTATGCAAAGGGTGGAAATAATCTTGCATTTTCTACAAATATAATCATAACTTGTACACGTTCTTAGCAAAGAAGCGTTCATCCCCCTAATTCTAGGAAGAACCGTACCGGTACAAGGAGATTTAGACCTACAATTAGGTAGGTGTCCCTCACCTTTACCATGGTAATGACCATCGTACCCTAATTACACGTGCAATAATGACGACACAATAAATCTAATTACAATATTATAATAATAACAATAGTAGTAATAATAATACGAATATATTATTCTTAACAATACTACTTCTGTACTCGTAGCTTATAATGTATTCTATAGTTAAGTTCGTTTTTCATGTTTATTATTAGATTGGGCATTTTTTAAGAGTGGTGCGCAAAGGTCACCATATAGCATAATCGATTCAGAGGTACGGTACACGTGATTATATTGTATTTTACATTTTATATTTTACATGAATCATCGTGTCAATAAATACGTATAGGTAATTTAAAAAAACAACCTAGGTCGTCCAGACTGCAAATTTTGCTTGATGCTAATTTTGTTCAGTGTGTTTGTTCAAATTCTATGATTGTCCTCTCAGATCTCTTAAATCTCTACAACGATTTTTCAGTTTTGGTGTCCTTCCAATATCTGCAATTATTTTAAGAAAAAAAGAAGATAAAATTGATAAAAGTCGGTTTGATACCGTGATTAACTACGTGAAAACTGATAGAAAGTACCAGTGGCGGATGATCCCGGTGGGATGACGGAAGGTGCCCACCTCCCAAACCACAACCTCCTCACTTCAAGCAGCAGCCAAACGTTTACCAAGTGATAAAAACGAGATTTAAATGGCTAAATCTCATAGTATGTAAAGCACCACCCCAAACCCTTCTTCTCGAACCATAGGTTCGCCCACATCTCTTCAGACCACACCTGTAGGTCTTTGATTGCCACGGTCCCTCACCCTCCCGGCAACAAAAATATCCGCCCCTACAGCATTACACCAATAAAATGATAAAGAGTTACAGAGCTATCCATAAAATGATGTGGAGTAAATTGAACCATTTCTTAGTTATCTAATTTGTTTTAGACATACTCACGTTTAAAATCTTTTGGTTGAGTGAATGAGAATGAAGTATTCTGTCCAATAAGTGTCTTGATGCCTAAAATTAACAGTCTATTTTTAATAAGCTGCATTATAGAACGTCGTATAATAATTGACACAAATCATTAAGCCTGACTGTCAGTGTACACCACCTAACCAGAATGAGATGCCGCTGCAACGCGACTTCTACCTCGGGTCACGGGGATGCGACTGCAGCAGGTTACAGGGGCTCATTCCAAATGTTAGTATACAGGACCCTCATTATGCCTGTTATCCAAAAATGGCAACCATAATTGGCTATCTTATTATTTTCTTTTTGAATTGGATTAAGACATCTGCGCTAATTATATCTTAACAAAAATTATTTTATTATTATTATTAATAAATATTATTATTATTATTATTATTATTATTATTATTATTATTATTATTAAAGTTGCTGTTGTTGCTAGCGTTATTGTTATTGTCATCAGCATCATTATTATCTTCATCACATATCCCCATCATCCGTTTACTTTCGGCCTCATCTTGGTCTCCGTCAGCCATCAAGATCCAAATTAGTAACTTTACTGTGGTGAAAACTTAAAACATTAGTGTTTTGCTAAACTTCTTGCTGTAACAATGTAGTCCACTTCGAAGATTGCATACTTTGCCACAGGTACTGCAAGGAAGTTGAGGAGTACGGTATCCATTGGTTCATAATTCTCACTTCAAATGGCGTATCTAGGGGCTGTGCAGGGTGCACGCGCCCTCTCCCCTCCCCCCCAAAAAATACTCGCACGCACAGTTCAAAACAAAACAAATCAACAAAGTAGTTAAAAATCAGCTCAAATCAGCCTATTTTGTGAACTACTGTAGTGTTCTCCCTCACCTAATCAACGAGCCCCTGCACTTCACCTTCGTGTCCCCATCAGTCACTATTTCAAAACTCTTAAGTGCACTTCTTGTCTTTGTAAACAAATTATATAC